CCCAGCACAAAAACCTGGTACTTCTATGTAGCGGCCGGCCATTTGTAGCCTACAAGAGGAACTCAGAACCCCAGCCTGGCCAAAACTAGAGGATGGTTCTGAAGTACGGGCGCTATCTGTACGTAGCTCACCAAGGCTTGGCCCTCCTCCGGGGAAAGGTCGGCCTTCTTCACGATGTTCTTGAGCTTGTTAAACGTCATGAGGACAGAAATGTCCATCAAGTTCTCGCCCATCTTGCCCGCCTGCATCGAAAACAAAAGCAGGACAAAAACGCAGCAGGAAAACACACAGAAAAAAACATCAGTTTAACAGAAGTCAACACTCGATTCAAGCATGTTCTGGGAACATACTCTCCAGTCCAATTGGAAGCAACGACGTCAAAGAGGGAATACTACGCACTCAACTACAGCAGTAGCAAATACTACAGCAGAAGCAAATACTACAGCAGAAGCAAATACTACAGCAGAAGCAAACACCCGCCCAAATAAAACGGAGTGTTGTATTGCCACCTATGTTAACAAGTCAAGCATCCACCCGTGAAAAGCATAAACCACTCTTTATTGTCCCGCAAGACCGTGAAAAGCATAAACCACTCTTTATTGTCCCGCAACACCGTGAAAAGCATAAACCACTCTTTATTGTCCCGCAACACCCTCTGCTGTAGGCAGTCTATTTCCCTCCCGCACATGAAACATGTTGCTTTCCACAAGAGCACTTGCGAATAAGAAATCAATGAACTTAAGACCGAAGAGAGATAAGGATCAAAAGTCAAATCGCGTTCGGGACACCCCTGAGAGCCTAAACGACAACAACGCCGAAAACCACAACACCATCGCAGAGGAGTGCCTAGAGCTGAACTGCAGTCAGGCATACAGCAATTACCACACCCCACAAAGAGCGAATCGATTACTCCCTGCAGTCAGGCGTACAGCAATTGCCACACCCAACGAAAAGCAAATCGACTACTCCCTGCAGTCAGGCGCACAGCAATTACCACACCCCATGTATAGCAAGTTGATTACTTCCTGCAGTCAGGCGGACAGCAACTGCCACACCCGACAAAGAGCAAATCGATTGCTCCCTGAAGTCAGGCGGACAGCAATTGCCACACCCACAAAGAACAAATCGATTGCTCCCCGCAGTCAGGCGTACAGCAAATGCTACAAGTATCTACCTGCCGCCAAGCGTACACCCCATACATGTATGGCGAACCGTATACTACCGTTACCGCACCTTGTTCTGCATGAAGCGGTCCCACCCGAAGTTGGAGTCCCCGAAGTAAAACTCGAGCATCTTGAGGGCGGCGGTTTCAGCGGCGGTTTCAGCCTCCTTACCCTTGTCTTCCGACCCTTGCTCCACCTTCACCTCCAATACCTTCATCTCTCCTTTCTCCTCTCCTTTCTCCTCCTCCTCCTTCTTCTCCTCTTCCATCGGCGAAGGGGACGCCGCTACTGCAGCGGCCTGCATTCCGTTTTCAACCAAGCAAACAAACAACAGAAAAATTGAGATGAAGCGTGAACAACAGTCTTTGCAGGTTCTTGAGAAAGCAGACATATCGGACAAAGTTTGGATTGGGCGTTACCGATAGGGCGAGGGTCTGCGTGGTATTTTTTCGTGAAAAACTTGCGTTCTGAGCGTGGGCCGTCCAGCGGGAAACGACCCCGCCGAGATGTTCTTGTAAGTTTTTCATTGATTGTGGACAAGAGCAGGAAGGGGGTGGTATGCAGAGGGTAGAGAGAAGGGGCTTCTTGCAGCTTCGAGACCAAGCAAACCGGCGTATGATTGCTGCAGGACTTGAACAAAAAACAAATAAATGTAAGCCCAGTATCACTCAAAAGCATCTAGCAGGTTTTCCCCAACCGTCACTACAGTACTGCTGTAGACGCTTCATTCAACAACTGCCAACATCTCGATATGCAACACTTCAATTCGGCAACGCTAGCCCACCTCGCCGAAGTTCGGATATGCTTAGACCTACTTGGAAACCCCAGGACACGGAACTGAGTCAAATCCAAAGCTCGACAAATGAACCAAAGAGCAACGAATTTCCACAAAGTTATCGGCATTCACCCTCCCACACCTCTACACCTTGTAAATACTACTTTCTATTTTCTTAAACGTGGAAGCACTATAACAAGCGGCCAAACGATTCAGGCAAGGCAACAGCCGCAACAACTGCAGTACATGACACAAGATACCACACCCCCT